CATATGGCCTTATTTGCAGCATGAATTCGAAAAATAAGTTTATTTTGAATTTTAATAAACTAAACGTTCACCAAAAAACTTTAGTGAGAAAAATCGAAAAAACGAACTACAAACATTAACGCCAAACATTCGGTAGAATTTATAGAATATTGTAAAAATTATGGTCTATTACCAACATATATATATATATATTGATGACTGTAGTGTATATATATATTTATAATTTTAAGAGTCTAGTTAGTAGGTCCTGATCAACCTCTGAACCTACTACGAATGGGCAGCAAGTTCTTTTAACCCCCTGACCTTTCTCATTCAGTCTATTGAATTGTAATGTAAAATTTCTTACATTACATAAAACATTTTTTTTAGTTGAGTCAGAGTTTCACCCTGGATTACAAATGCCTGCTGGCTTTTGAAGTCGTGTCAACTAACCGGATTTGTTCCCAGTTCATGACTAGGAAAAATTTTTTGGTTTGATTATGTTGAATCATATTGGGACTCATATTATAACAAATTGTGTACTATATTCAGATTTAATTTGAAACAGGTTTAAGGAATATTTGTTTTCACTTGATGCATGTTTGTCATTTAACAGAACAGTACAAACTTTTTGATTGATTACCTACTGACACACTAAGTATAATAAACGGAATTTTCAATGAATTAATTTTTACATGAAGTTTAATTTATTGTCTGTTCTTGTTTGTAATGAATTTTTTTTTAATTTTCTTTGTAAAATGTCGAAATAAATAATTTGTTGTCTTTACAATAGGATTTCTTCCTAATCAACGAATCGTTACATTTTCAGTCAACTAAAAACATCTGCGTGCATATATGTTTGTGTATATGGTGTATATATATATAAATCCTCCAGGGACAAAACTTAACTACCAACTAACATCCGATTTTGATGACGTTTGGCATATGAAACAGTAGGCATTATTCTCTTAATTACGCATTAATCAACTCGACAGCCAATAGGATCGCTGGCTCCGCCTATGGGGCTGTGACGTCACAGCGATTGGAATTCGCTCTATAAAAGGCTGCAGCGTTGTTGTCAGCCATTTTTCTCTATCGTTTTGAGATTGGAGTTTTACGTGTACTGTCGGTTCGAAGGAAGGTTAAAACTTCTCTTTTTGATCGAAAATCGTTTGAAATTTATTTCAGTGAGTTTTTTTACGTTTTATTTGTGGGTTGTTGTTGTAATGTTCGTATTTTAGTCTGGTGATTTATTTATCCTTATCGTAAATGTAAATTCGTTAAGTAAGAAGACGAAGACGAAGAGGAAGGCTTCTATAGTTTTATACTTTTATTTCAATAATAACGTTAACCGAACGCTAACTTGTGTTAACTGTTAAAGATTTATTTTAAATAAACGTGAATTTGTTTTATTTTTAATAAATAATTATTTTCTAATTTGGCTGGTTTCAAATTTTGTCTCTTTTATTGTCCTCTAGTAGTCTAATTTTAATTTGTTACTAATAATTACTAATCTAATTTTTGTCCTAACTAAAACTAAAAATGACCACAATTTTAATTTAATGTGGCAAAAAGTTACTATTGACTCTAAATCACCAAATATTCAATTCAAATGAACCAATTTTTCATTTGGTTTTAATTTAATTACAATTACCTAAATAATATCATAGAAAAGAGCAACAACAAATTCACTTTCAAAAAAAGTGCTAAAGTTGAGTGCGTGCTTATGATTTTTTAATGCCACATAGCCTGCTAAATTAAGTGAAAAGAGTTTTACTACGGTTATTAGTTATGTATATTATAGTTACAATTGTCATTTCATTTCAAAATTTCAATTACAAATTATTTTTAATGAATTGAGATTAGATTAATTAATGAATAGTTGATAAAATTCTTCAGTCAGATTATCAAGCCGACCATGCTACGTGAGGTTCAGAGTGCAGCATCCTTCATTGCTTCTTTAGCCAAAGATCTTTCGCCTAAAGAGAGGGAAACATTCAACAACAGCCTATGTATGTCGATGAGCTTGCATTATAAAGACCATTGGTTTCCCGATAAACCAAACAAAGGTAACGCCTATCGATGCATAGAAATTTCGCCCAAGTTGCCTGACCCAGTCATTGAATCAGCCTTAAGATTAAGCAACTTTTCGACATCATCGTCTATGTTGTTTAAATGTCATGTCTTGATTTGGGTAGATCCAAAAGAAGTTTCTTACAAATTTGGTGATGAAGGCAGCGTTGGTGTTCATTATAGAGAGTCCGAATCGAACCAACCCACGAACGCCGTACATCTGTCAAGGTGCTACATTCAAAAATCTAACTTTTTCAAGGAAAGTTTGCAAAACATAGCAGTAAATGCTTAGCCAATGTTTAACTAATTTATTTATTTTTTATTTTTTTAAACTGTACATTATCATTATTATGATATCAATTCCTGCGTCTGTCTTCTCTAGTCACGCCTTGAAAATTGGTTGGGTCGTATTTTTAAATGACATCCATTTCTATTCTATTTTTGATTGTTCACGGACAATTGCATTATTACTTTTCAAAGCCTGTGATTTTTACATTTTTTAACTTGTGCAGCATGATGCTCAAATTATTGTTGAAATTTATTTTCAAGATTTGCATTATTTGCACAAATAATTGTAAAAATGTTAATAAGATGTGCATATATTTAAATATATTGCTTAACGATTTTCAACGGTTTATTTGATTTCTTGTTTTCTTTTTGAAAATTTCGAGAAGCAGCCAGCAAATGTGTTAATACATGTTGCTCAGGAATGACTATATTCGTGAAATGTTACTTTAGTTATTTTTTAATATTTTGTCTTGTTTATACTGAGAACAAAAATTGAAAAATTATATTCGTTGTGTTTTATTTTGTTCGTAAAAATCCTTCCAATAAATAAATGAAGTGAAGGTTCATGAGCAAAATGACTAAAAAGTGGTTAATTTAAATAAAACTCGTGGAAAAATGAAAAACCGAGGGTTGTTCGTTTCAAATACAATCAAAATATGATAAAACATACAAAATTATCGACTCAGTTGGCCCTGCGAAAGTTCGGTTGTCAGCTTTTGCCAGGGGTGTACTTGTCCGTGATAATGATGATATCTCTTCCGACCAGTGATAATCTGTAATTAGATTGGTTAATTTATTCCTATTTTTATTATATATATATTTAATATATATAATAAATAAATTGGTAATTAGTTGCTTTGCGACTTTAATGAGCATAGTTACGCATTCTTAAAAATTGAGCTATATTAATACAAATCGATTGATTGGGGCTAATCACCTCAATGCAGCATCTGGGACTATATCGAAGTTTCGTTAAAAGTCTGTTAAAATTTTCATTTAATGGCCGAATGCATATCTATCTATAGCTGCCCGAATCAAACTTTTCATTTTTCTGCTTTTATTAGCGTATTTCTTTCCAGCTAAGTGATCTGATCTAATTTTTTGCTTTCTCTCGCTGTGTTTAAACCATTTTATTCTAACGCATCTTGTTTATTAGTACATAGCTCTGATCTTATTCAGAGAGTTGATCGCCAATCTCGGACATCTTCAAGAGTATATCAGAAACATAGCGATACCTACAATGAAAAGTATTTACTTGACTATGTGCTGATACTGAATAGCGTTTATCGTTCTTTCAAAATTCTGATGAAAATCAACTCCAACAAGACAAGTTAGAAGATTTCGAAGGGCACTTGGTGAAGATTGATCGGTTCTTTCTGCGGAACGCACAACGTAACTTGGCCTGGAAAAATTGAACAAACACAGAATACATCATTAAATGATCGTAAGGTAGTAGTAATAAAAGTACCTACCCGATGTTGCTAGCGAATAGGGAATCAATAGATTTGCAGTGCTTGTGATCGTCGTCACTACACAGCATCCTTTCTCGACAAAATAGTTCTACATCTTTCTCCGGTATGATAGCGCTTTTTGAAATTAAATTCTCCAAGTACGTGCTGTAGTTACCCTTCTTCAAAACATTAGGGTCGTCTATTTTCGTTTCAAGTTTTTCGTCGATGCTGACAACAATTTTTGTGAAAAGAGAAGCCATACCGGGATGGAAGTTGGGAAGAATGAAGACTCGGGAAACTTCGGGAATGATGGTGTCCACGGTTAGGCCAGGTATGCTCCAACCGTCAAGGGCACTGCACGTTTTTATAGGTGCGATTCAAGAAATTAAGAATCATTTTGCAAATAAATGTCTACCATTTATTAAAAGAAACATTTTAGTGGGCCAACTGTTTTTCAAGAATATATCAAACGATGATGTTAACTACAACCATCAATTATTTGACGAAGGTCTTACAAACCAATCTAAATTAAACAGTACTATAACACTTGAAACGATGGAAATATACGAACCTTATGTGATTAAATTCAGACCAACGCGGTTTTAGATGTGTGTCGTAAACGTGTCTGCTCATTATAAATCCAACTCCTGGGAAAACCCCACTCCTGATGGCTCTGTTTTCGTTACTAGCCGTCAAACTCAGACCTGTTTAATTTGGGTTCAAAATTTTCAAGATTATTCATCCAGCTCTAAAAATTTTCAATTCCAATAAATCATTTCAAATGCCAATACATATAAGTAAGAACATTTAAAACTAATTAAAATTACTAATTAATAAATTAATTATAAAAAAGATTGAATTATAATACTAAATATATATATAGAAACCCAATGGATTCCAGGCAGAAGCGGCCATTAACGACGAATCATTCTGCAGGACATCCATGCACTGAGCCATGAAACTCAAAAAATTGTTACTTGGTATCACATGTTGTTCGAGGAACACTATGTACTGCGTGTGTGTGTGTGTGCGTGTGAGAGAGAGAGAGAAAGAGAGATGAGAGACAGAAAGAGAACATAAAATGATAAGTGAATAGATGTATGTTGTAAGTTTAATAATGTAAATATCTAAAAACCTAATTCATAATGTCTAGGATACGTAATAAAAATGGATTTTTAGCATAGGAATTGAACTATAGCACCTGAACCTAACAATGACGTAGAAGCATCTGGGTACAACTTATAACAATATCAACATTAAATAATACATATTTATAATGATAATAATAAAAATAACGATAATACAAATTTAAAAAAACAATATAATTAATAATAATAATAAAAATACTTGAGCATTGAAATTTTCCCACGAATGTTTGAAAGAACCTAGGAAAATGTCTGCAGAAGTTATGATAACGATTGAATATATAACAACAATAATAACAACAACAACAATAATAATTACTAATTATCATAATTTATAAAAAAACCTGCATAATCGTCTACTTCGAAGAAAGAATTGACGAGCAAATGAATTTTCAAGTCGAGAAGTACCGAAAGCTTAATGAATAGCTCCTCATTCTCTGGTAGAAATACCTTTGGAAACGATTAAACAAATTCAAATTCAAATGATTTTTATCTTCAACAACAACAACAACAACAACAACAACAACCATGATACATAATGGCTGTGCGTGATGCGTTGGTCCTATTTATATAATTAATTATTATTTAAACCATTATAACTAAAAAATAATTTGAAAATGAAACACACGTGAATATTTTCTTTCAAAATGCCGGGGTTAAATAACAGAGCCTCGACTTGCATTCTAAACACATTGATATCAGGTCCTAATAAGAACAGTCATCATCATCATCATCGTTATCATCGTCATCAACGTCGTCATCATCATCTTACAATGATGCCAGAACCAAACGAATAGATAGGATCGAATCAACATCAGTTTTCATCATCACAATACATAACCGTTCTTGTAATATTAATAATAATAATAAACAATAATAACAACATTAAAAATAATAATAATAATAATTCTGGAATAATTCCGAGGCCTATTTTTACCTGGAACGATAACGACAGGCGCGGAGAACAAGGAACTGTTTTCCAATGCCGGATCGAAGAGAGGTAACGTAGACAGGGGCTCGTCGATATTTTCAGCTAATTTTGAAAAATAAAAATTCCCAATTAATTATTATTATAAATATTTATCACAAATAATTTCAATAATTTACAAAAAAATGTTATCTCACTATAAAAGTAGAAATAAATAATTTAAATAAACAAACCGCTGCAGAAACTGTTGTCAAATTGACTTTCGACACAGAACTTTCTGCGGCCTTCGTTCACACGTGCAGTTACGTCTGCCCTGACTTCTACACCAACGACTATAAATAAGAAAAAAAATCTCTAAAAAATTATGGAAAAATTATAAATTATTACGGTGACACCCAGTTCTAACTTCAACGCCCTTGAAATGTGCCAAATTTCCGGAAAAATAATAATAAAGGTTAAAAAGGTTAAAGGTCATTTTCTATTAAATTATATTTAGAGGGATCACCAACACAAAGAAAGAGTGATAACACTAACAGTTTCGTTTGACACACGTTCTTAGGCTGATTGGGCGAGGCCATCCATAGATAGAGTATTCAATCTTCAAAAAGAATATGATAATTAATCACAATAACAACAGTATAAATAATAACAACAACAACGACAATAATAATAATAATAAACAGACATGTTCTATGGGACTGAATCCGGACAAATTCTTCCGACCGACAAAGACCCAGACATCTCGAAAGGCCAAATTCATAATGAGAGAGCTACCTAGTGACGTTATCACGTCTCTAACTGAAGCTGATAATCTTAAAAAATAACAATACAGATTAGCAATAAATTATCCTTATTTATATAGCGCAATTGTTAGTTTTTAATTTCAAAGTTGTAAAAAAACAAAAAAAAAATACATGGAACATGCTACCTATATATACAGTAGAAACCGGTTAAACGGACCACCATTGACGAAATAAGACAGGCGGCAATTTGGATATTTCCTCATCTAATCTCATTTTAGGACTGTTTGAATGAACTACATTCAATCATAAACGACATTCAATCAAACATTAAAAGATGCAATAGGCATCTCGTAATGACAAGCGTTAACTAACCAACCACAAATAAGTTGCTTATGTTACTTTTTAAAATAATTTCAGAGTGACGTGTCTAATTAGAGTACCTAAACCAGATGTGAGAAAAAAGAAACGCATCTGTTCGTAAACGAGCCTCGCTACCTATTTGCGACCCAATAAACCGACTTTTTGTCATTTTTTGGTACAGTTAAACGAGCTAAATTATAGTACAATAGTCTTATTAAATGCTGTTCATGTACGTCTAGACAGAAGTGTGAAGCAAACGCGAAATCTACTTTCAGAAAGACAACCCAAATAACAAGGTTGATTCTGTTTTTGGTAATTTGTTCCCACCTAACAAACCACCGGCTCAATTAACCGGTGTCCCGCTTAACCGGTTTCAACAGTATTTTAAAAATCAAAAAAAAAGAAACCCGTACAACAAAATAATGCTTCTAAACAAACAACATTTAAACAGTAAAAAAACGTTCAAACCTATCAAGCAAAAACTTTACCAAACTTCAATTAGACTGAAGGACAGCAACATCAATCAATAATAATGGAAAGTTAGACTATAAAAACGCGTGCAGACAGCAAAGCTAACGTGAAAACTGAAGAATCGAATTTTAAATCAAACACGTACGTGCAAATCATGAATCATTATAACGGCATTTAACATTCAACAACAGCACTTACATGACACACTCAAACACACATACACACACATACATACATACACGCACAAACAAACAAACACACATTGGCATGCAGTTACTATAACAAATTAATTATTTCCCATTTTTATAAAAAAAAACGACGATTATTAAGAGAAATATAATACTTGACAACCGCCATTGGCGAAAAAACATTAAAATTAAACTATAATAATAATAATATAATAATAATGTGATTATTATTATTATTATATATATATAATAATAACAATAAAAAACATAATTATATGAATTAAAACCATATTATTATTGTTATTATTATTAACAACAACAACAACAACATAAGCTAAATTTTTGGATAATCATGGATATCTGCAATATCCAAAGAGTCAATAAAAACCCATCTAACAAACAGCCTCTAAAATAAATCAACGCTCCGACATGACGTAACATCATACTATCATGATACCACGATAACGATATCGCATCATAATATCATGATATCATAATGATATTCTCATATTATCATGATATCACAATCACGACGACACAACGCTATAACATTCTATAAGCCATGCAAATTAAATTACAACTATGTGTATTTCAACCTATATAAATCATATTACCAACAACAACAACAACAATAATAACATCAATTACAATAATAATAATATTATTATAACTTTAATAATAATTATAATAATAATATTACATTATTATTATTAAAAATATAATAACAATCGTGATATCAATACAAAGACCTATACGACGCATACGTACAAATAAACACATGCACGTGCACACAGACACTCACACAGACACGCACGCACATATCGTATATATATATATAAAACCTTGTAGAACCGTCGTCATAAACAACAAAAACCGCCAAAAATCCCGCTTCTAGAAGTTCTAAAAACTCCTCCAACTTTTTGCTCTCTGGGTATATTTTAAGGTATTAGTGTATTGTACACACACACACGCACGCACACACACATAAACACGCACGCACAGACTGTTATTAATTAGATAGGTCCAGATGTGTGACAAGCTGTGTAGTATGTTATAGGCATTTAAGGTGTTTGTATATTTCCAAAGTGTTATAATTGTTAAATAGAAATTATGGGCTGGAGGAAGTTTAGTTAAGGTATTTATAAGGTATTTCATTGCCATGATTGTTTGCGTAAGAGGCTGTCTAACTGATGTCTAAAATGGATGATACGTGGAGGTGAAAATTCAAATGAAATGATTGATTGATTGGAAAAAATGTATAGAGGATACATACTATGTTGGGAAAAGATTTTCAAGGATGCATGCAAAACAATACAGTACAATACATTAAAATACAATACATTAAAATACAAAACAATACATTAAAATACAAAACAATACATTAAAATACAAAACAATACATTAAAATATAATACAATACAATACAATACCTTAAAATACAAAACAATACATTAAAATATAATACAATACATTAAAATACAATACAATACATTAAAGTACAATACAATACAATACACTAAAATACAATCAATCAATCAATCTTCGTTTTGCGTCCAGAGACCCGGTTTCCCGAGATATGACGTACTAAAATACAATACAAAACATTAAATTTTACCAGTTAGTATGCCGGGTACTTTTGGAATAATTAATACCATACACATTTGCATGTGGAAATTGATTAGTCATGGGTGTATTACATAGCTATGACGGATGATGGATTAAAGGATATATAAGAGAAACACACGCGCATACACAAACACACACACACAAAGCAAGAGAGAGAGAGAGAAAGAGAGAGAGAGAGAGAGAGAGAGAGAGAGAGAGAGAGAGAGAGAGAGAGAGAGAGAGAGAGAGAGAGGGAGGAAGGGAGAGATGCACACGCACATACACCACAGTGATCTGTCGAGAAAAAATTGAATGATTCAATTAAAGGATTTTAGAAACGTCTTTAATAAAGTTGGAAATAATTCAAATATAGTTGCAGTTGAAGGTGTAATAGAAAACTACCAACCTTACAAAAATTATAACAACAACAACGACAACAATAACGACAACAACAACAACATCAACATCAACAACATCAACAACAACTATAACACCAACCAGAAAGTAATAATAACCTGTGGCAAATGTATCAAAGTTTCCAAACCTTACGACCTTGACAGCCTTCGGGTCGACTACGGCAACATTGAAACCCCTCCCTAGATTCTTAAAATATGGCAGAGCCGAGCTATTTAAAAAAAAAAACAATTAATGTCTTCTTATTTCTCAAAAATCTCAACAAGAAATACACAGAGTGTGTGAGTGAAAGTGAATCTAAGTGAATTCAAGCATGACACACATCAAAGATGCATATCATAAATGCCATTGACTGAGTTGTAGTAGTTGAAGTTTTTCAAACCTCTCTAACTAGAGTTTCTTTTTTATTTAAACTAATTAATTTTGCTAAAATTTGGAAAAAATTGAATTTTTGGTGATAAATATCTTTCCAGTTTTAATCAATCGAACAATCCGTAAAAATACAAAATGGAAAAATTAAAGACAAACAAACTGCAAACTACTACTACTACGTCAATGATTTGCTAGATTGAATTCTGTTCCAAAAAAATTGAAAAAAAAAAATATTTGTAAACTGATCGTGTTGAGAGCTCCAGTGTTTGAGCCTAGGACGCTTTATTAACTGACACATCATTATATTATTATTAATAATTTCAAAAATGGATAGCACTAACTAAAGATGATTGATGCAAATTCTGGGCTTTTCCGAATTGGCGCGTCCGGTGTAGAGGTGAATGGGGAATTCATCGTAGGTGCATTCGAAGGGGAGGCCACAGTTTTTGGAGTAGTTTAAATTTAAATTGTCATCTCCTACACCATGAGTTAAGTTTTGATTGACATCTAGAATAAACAAATAAAATGAATAATTGAATAATAATTTAGAATAAAAATGTCAGTATTGTTAACCAACAATCAAGAAAGTTAAAAAAATTGGGCGGCAAGATGGCGTCGTAAGGGTTAAAGTGTCTGTTAGCCATGTGTTGCAGTGACCTGGATCGAATGCAGGGAGATCCCTGCCTATCACATGCAATGTGTGTGACGCGTGGAAGATGCACGCATGTAGTACACATGCACTGTGCCTGTGTGTGCGTGCGCGTTTTTGGTACATTTGAAAATTACTTAACAGTGAATAAAAGATAGAAAGTTAAAGTTACCATCCTTTGGAGTAGATAATTTTTCATTAATCACATTTTGGCTTCCAGTTGAGTTACATTTCAAATGTGAGTCTTTGATATTGTTAGTATGAAATATATTCAGTCAGATTACATAGTTGACAAACACACACACACACACACACACACGCACACGCACACATACATACACATACACACACACATTGATTAAATAAAATCCAAGAAGAAAGCAATAATTATTCATAGTTTACAAGAATTTTTTAAATCAATTGCCAACATTTCATTTTATTATTAATATATTATTAAATTAAATTAATTATTTTAATTTTATAAAAATTTAACTCATCATTACCTTTGAAGAATATCTCTTTATAAAATATGAAATTCAAGATTATGTAGAGGCCATAGCAGGCAATGATCAGACAGAAGACCCTAAATACTGTGAGGTTCATAATTATCCATAATGATTACACCTACATGATATAAATAAAAATAAAATTAAAAATCCACACAAACCTCTAGATTGTTTTAGAAAACCATTCAACTTGAAAACTCTAATTAATTTCATGGTTTACTGGTCTTTTTTTCTTTCCTTATTAATTTCTTCTACTAAATATATAAATATACACAATATTTGATGAAAATCAATGAAAATCAATTAACATCCTACTTCGGAAACTGTGTCTCTGGACGCTTAACAAAGATTGATTGATGAAAATCCCAGCATGTTCCACATTAATTAGCTTCTAGTTGACATTTTATAAAAGTCATTTGTATTACTTATGCTAAATATTTTATTTCTATTTTTCCATTATATTAAATGTTTCTTTTTTAAATTATTAAATTTATTAAATAAGTATTATTAACGATAGGTAGTATTTAATTAATTAAATAATTAAATGAGGATCTATTGAGGTATTGTTTTGTGATCATCACAACAAACACACTTCCATATTTCTATTTACTAGTAAGTCTTCACTGTTTCATATGAAAAAGAAAAATTAAAAAATTATTTATTAAATTAATATTAATCAACTATATAAAATAAATAAACAAACAAGTTAATTATGAAAAATGCTCATATTTACCTACTGCACACACACACCACACAAACAAACAACACACATGGATGCATACACACAAAGAAACAAACACACAGACACCACACACAAACAAACAAACACACATACAAACACACACATTACTACATTCATATATTTTACTTTTCTTTTTTACAAATATGTTACTCTAAAGTTCCAAAAACACAATTAAAACTAAATACTATGTTTACATTACTAAACAGTTTACTGATTAGAATGCTAGCTAAGATAAGACTGCTAAGTAAGAAAGACTGATCACTTGACTAAGACTACTAAGAAAGTGTATTCATTTTTAATAAAATTAATTCATAGCTTAAGTTAAGTTATAGCTTCTTTCAATGAGCTAAAAATACCATTTCACCAGAAGAGTACATAGATAGTGATTAGAAAATAATATAATATAGCCAATAAAATCAAATAATGTAAATTAAAATTTTAAATCGAAACTATTCGTTGTCGTGTAGAGATCAGTTCTAGTTTTGTTTTTTTAAAACTTACATTAACTTTTAAATATTCCGGAATGGCTTCAAAAATTTTCTATATTATTTTATTAATATAATGAATATATTGAATTAGTTTCATATACTTATAATACCTTTAATCTATATTGTGCTTATGTATAATATTATACATTGAATTAATTTAAATCACTGAATACAGTGTATATACGGTCATTACAATAGCCATAAAAATTGAGTTCCGCTACTTGAACTTTAACATATAAACCAACCACCTTTTATTCACATTGCGTTCGACTCCTGACAGACATTTCTTGCAAAAAAACCGAGGCAAAACCGTTTCATTATTATATTTATTAAGACGAGTGATTTAAAACTTTAATTTTAACTCCAAATGTTCATTCAAAGTCAACTGCTATGGTAATGCTACAATTATTCGGTAAATTCGATGGTTAATATTGAATGAAGAACTTTAAACGCGAAATTTATGATAAATTATTTATCAGTCGAATAATCAATGTCAACCGATCGTTTCATTCCAATTAAGCGATTCTTCCTTATTTTCCCACAAACATGTGATGTCTTTTACCTGGTAAAATATTTCTAAAATTCGTTGACATCACGACATCGTCATTTTTGTCTTGTCGGTCCGAAGAAAGAAAGTCTTTGACGCTCAAATAGTCACTGTTCGAGTCATCTTCCTCACGTTTTCCAACAAACAAATGAGTTCTTTTCTCTAGCTCTTTGCTGTCGTCATACGTGACGTCATCTTTGAGAAATGGGCGTTTACCAACGAATGAATGAGCTCTTTTTTCTAATTCTTGGTTGTCGTCATCCGTGACGTCACCTTTGAGAAGTGGGCGTTTTCCAACGAACAAATGAGCTTTTTTCTCTAATTCTTGGTTGTCGTCATCTTTGAGAAATGGGCGTTTTCCAACAAATAAATGAGCTTTTTTCTCTAATTCTTGGTTTTCGTCATCCGTGACGTCATCTTTGAGAAATGGGCGTTTTCCAACAAATAAATGAGTTCTTTTCTCTAATTCTTTGGTGTCGTCATATGTGACATCATCTTTAAGTAATGGGCGTTTTCCAACGAATAAATGAGTTCTTTTAACAGGTTCTTTGTTTCTGTCATAGGTGACGTCATTTTTGAGAGATGCGCGTTTTCCGACGAAAAGATGGCGTCTCTTTTTGTCAACTTTGAACTGTCCCGCCCGGTGAGGCTCTTGTGAGGAAAGTGCCAAGTTGATCACTGCGGAATGAAAATAAGCTATAATATTAAATTGAAATAAGTAAAAAAATAAGTATATTATTAAATTAATAAATAAATATTTGTAATTAATAAATAATTTTTTATTAAATGTGTATTTTATTCGCTAGCCCGGTTAACGATTACGTTTTTCAAAATAAAAATTCGGACTAAAACATTAATTTATTCAAAATATTAACGGCTGTTGGTTTTTATTCAA